TCAAGAAAGAAGAGGAACTGCTAGAGAGACTCCAGAGGAGGGCGACAAAGCTGATGAGGGGACTGGAGCATCTCCCCTGTGAGGAAAGGCTGAGGGAGCTGGGCTTGTTCAGCCTGGAGAAGAGAAAGCTGAGAGGGGATCTCATCAACATGTACAGATATTTGAAGGGTGGATGTCACGAGGACGGAGCCAGACTCTTCCCAGTGGTGCCCAGTGACAGGCCAAGGGGCAATGGGCACAAACTGAAGCAGAAGAGGTTCCAGTTGAACGTGAGGAAGAACTTGTTGACTTTGAGGGTGACCAAGTCCTGGCCCAGGCTGCCCAGGGGGGCTGTGGAGTCTCCTTTTCTGGAGATATTCAACCCCCGCCTGGACGCTGTCCTGTGCCCCCTGCTCTGGGTGAGCCTGCTTGAGCAGGGGGGTGGGACTGGGTGTGCTCCTGAGGCCTCTTCCAACCCCAGCCATTCTGTGATTCTGGGATTCTGTGATGGATGATGATGCCTGCCCAGAAATTAACCAGCTCCGGCAGCGAGGGATGGGCAAAGCTTTTGAGCCCGCTTTGCTGGGACAAGTAGATCCCAAGGAAAGCAAGAGCAAAACTTCAGGATTTCATGTTTTGTACAATATCAGATAGCAAAACAGGGAGGGACGGACTCTCAAGCTGAGCCATCATCCTTCTGATTGGCATCAACATGAAATCATTCCCGTACCGTCCTTATGGCCTGGGCCAGCTCTAGGTCAACAGCACCGATCTCATGTGACGGCAAGTTGGCCTGATGGTACGTCAGATCTACTGCGCTGGAAGGTTTCTAGTCCACCACCACCTCCAGATCTCCATCCATGCGATGCCGGTGACACCCCGCAAACCTCCTGTTAATTACAAACCTGCCTTAAGTTGATTACTGCTAATTGTCGGCACGGTGGCAGCTCTTCAGAGCCTCTGCCCAAGGATGTGAGATCCGCTCCTCTAGAGTGCTTCCCAGCACAAAATGGACTTGGGAAGGGGAAGAGCATCCTTCTCTCTAAATTGGAGAGCTATGGATCTGATGGGTGGACTGTTCGGTGGATAAGGAACTGGCTGGATGGTCGCATCCAGAGGGGAGTGGTCAACGGCTCGATGTCCGGATGGAGACCGGTGACGAGTGGTGTCCCTCAGGGGTCCATGCTGGGACCGGTGCTGTTTAATGTTTTCATCAATGACTTAGACAGCGAGATCGAGTGCACCCTCAGCAAGTTTGCGGATGACCCCAAGCTGAGTGGTGAGGTTGACACACCAGAAGGACGGGATGTCATCCAGAGAGACCTGGACAGGCTGGAGAGGTGGGCCTGTGTGAACCTCATGAGGTTCAACAAGGCCAAGGGCAAGGTCCTGCACCTGGGTTGGGGTAACCCCCAGTATCAGTACAGGCTGGGGGAAGAAAGGATCGAGAGCAGTGCTGCTGAGAGGGGCTTGGAGGTGCTGGTGGATGAAAAGCTGGACATGAGCCGGCAATGTGTGCTGGCAGCCCAGAAGGCCAACCACACCCTGGGCTGCATCGGGAGAAGCATGGCCAGCAGGTTGAGGGAGGTGATTCTGCCCCTCTACTC